TTGTGTATCCTAGGAATGCTAAAAGAGAGAGAGCTAAGCAATCCTTGTTTGACATTGCTAACAAAAAATGAAAGGTGAAACCATAGCATTTAGATTGTGCTTTTAAGCTGAGATGCTTAGAAAGTTACCCACTATGTGGTTTTTATGACCGATTCATTAGGGATTTCACTCAGTGCTGGGACTCTGACTTTACAAGCGTCTTTAAAGCCAGATTTAAAGCCAGCTTCATTGTTTTAAGTGGCACTATGCCAGCAAACATTTTGGCCCCGGGAGTTTAATATGTAAGTATATGATTTCACTTAACGTTTACACCAGTCACCATAGTTACCTCGTTGCTCCTGATTTACTCCCGTGTCAACCTCAATATAATTGCCATTATTATTATTTAACCTAAAGAGGAGCTTTTAAAGTATTAATTGGTATCCTGGTACGTTATGATGGCTGCTATATAAACAGTCTGCAATGCTGTTCTGTAAGTAGATTTTACACAGGATGGTAAATGCAATTGTGCCGCTCATTAAATTAATTTAACAGTCCGAAAATGGAGCAGACACTCAAGCAACTCAGTAGCTGCAAATACTTTTCTGCTTTTCCTCCCAGAAATGCTGGTCCTCCTTCAGATACAGGCTTTCTACCTTATGATGAAATTTTTCTTGCCAGTGTTGGGAATGTCCCCAGTTGCATGCAAAAGGTTTCCCCCTCTTTTACAAGTCAGCTAAATGCAGTGGCATTTTAGTGCCCACAGGGGCTGTTAGGGTGGAACAGTTCTATACCACTAATCGGCAAAATTTTAAAAATGTGAACACAAACTACATATTGTCTCGGGTTGTTTTTATATCCTTATTGATTTGCTACATTTCTTTCTGGGCTTTCTACCCAACGGGCACCCAAAGTGGCTTACATCCTCCTCCTCTTCTCCATTATATCCTCCCAACAGCCCCATGAGGTCTTTCAGGCTGAAAGCGTGTGACTGGCCCAGGGTCACCAAGCAACCTTCCATGGCAGAGTGGGGATTCAAACACTGGTTTGGGTTAACACTTTAACCACATTGCCACACTGGCTCTCTGATTTCATACTATGCAAATATGCCATTAATGTACTGAGTGATAAGAAAAGCCCGACTGGATCAGTGGTCACTGTAGGTAGTCCAGCATCCTGTTACGCTCAGCAGACAACCAGTTGTCTTGGAGGGGCAACAAGCAGATCATAGGAGAATTTTCCCTGATGTCACTACCCAGCACTGGTTTGCAGAGGTCTGCCGCCTCTGAAAATGGATGTTTCCTTTTCTCATCATGGCTAGAAGCCACTGATAGACCTATCCAGTGTTCCCTCTAAGCTGAGTTAGTGTGAGCTAGCTCACAGTTTTTTAGCCTCTGGCTCACACATTTTTGTCTTAGCTCAGGAAGGATGGCTCCAGAGCAAACTAATTTATGCACTAGCTGAATTGCTCACTCACTTTAATGCCGGTAGCTCACAAAGTAGAATTTTTGCTCACAAGACTCCACAGCTTAGAGGGAGCATTGGACCTATCCCCCATGAATCTGTCTTTTAAAGCATTTTAGCCCTGACCAGGATAGCCCAGGCAAGCCCTATCTTGTCAGATCTCAGAAGCTAAGCAGGGCCAATCTTGACAAGTACTTGGATGGGAGACCTCCAAAGAATACCAGGGCTGGGAAGCCTGAGGCAGGTGATAAAACCATTTCTCGGAATGTCCTCCATTTCCAGTAGGAGTTGCCAGAGGTTGCCATGACTTCCAGGCACACATGCACACGAGCAGAGACACAGACATGCAAAAATACCCCCCCCCAAAAAAGCCTTCTCTTCTTGTGGTCATCAGTATGTCCACTGGCAGTGAAGTCTACAGTGATTTACTCATTCAGTCCAGAAGCACTTCCTTTTGTCTGTCCTGAAATGCCTCTGAGTTTTAGTACTGTGGGAGAGAGAAAGAGTTCTTTCTATCCACTTTCTCCACCCCATGAATAAATTTATAATCGTCTTTTCTCTAAACTGAAAAGTTCAAGACTGTTTAGGCTTTCCTCATAACAGAGGTGCTCATCTTGAGTGCCCTGGCCTTCACTTTTTCTTCATTTCACTTTTTGCAGCTTTCCAATATCTCCCCCCCCCCCACCCCCAGGTACAGCGACTAGAAAGGCGTGGAAAATTGGCCCTTTTCATTGCTGCTGCACATGGAGGCTGCTTCCACACAGGGGTGCAAAAATGCACTGCCCTTCAGCAGTAAGCAGGGTGGGAACAGCATCTGCACACACACCCCAGCCCCTGCTCCCTCCCACTTTTCTCCATTGCATTTGCACCAAAGCACAGAGAAGATGGCTCCCTGTGGCCTGGAAATCTCCCCTTTCCTCTCCCTGCTGATTTGCATGATAATGTTGTAGCGTGTCTTAGCTGAAAGAGCAGGGAGGAAATGTGCTTTGCCCCTTTCCTGTAGCAGCTGTGGTAGGAACGTCCATATCAAGGCCCTACCTGCAGCCACCCCACAGTTTCCCCTTTGTGCTGGATTAAAGTTGATTTTTTAACCCAACTCAAAGAGGAAAAATACGAGAGCCAGGTGAGTTGTACTCAGATCTGGCACGTGATGGTGATGGAAAGCGCTGTCGAGTCACAGCCAACTCATGGAGACCCCATGGAGTAACCCCCCCCCCCAAATCCAGCAACTAAATAGGTTTTATTTTTTAAAAGATATATGTAACAGAGACAAAAATATAACAACAGTGGTGGCAGAATCTACACATAAATTTCCATAAAAGGTTTCCAAACATCTAAAAATAAGTCCATAAGCAATTGTCATTAGGGTTGCCAGGTCTGGGTTGGAAAATACCTGGAGACTTTGGGGGGTGGATCCAGGAGAGGGCGGGGTTTGTTATGTAGTGGGTAGCCGCATGGATGAACGACAGACAACGACGTGGTGCATAGCACGCTTTATTAGCACACAACAAGACAAAGGGATAAACGGCCGGCAGGCCAACTATATACACGCCTGGGGACCGCCCCTGGTCACCATTGGTGGGTTCAAATCTCCCGCCACGGATCCCATTGGTTCCCCAGTGGAGGGACTAGGATCCTAGTCCCCATTGTTGTTTCGGACTGAAGCTTGGGCATATGCGCTGACCTCCGGTGGCGGTCAGCGGACACTACAGGAAGGGCCTCAGCATGGTCCAATGCCATAGAGTCCACCCTTCAAAGCAGCCGTTTTCTCCAGGGGAGCTGATCTCTGTCAGCTGGAGATCAGTTATAAAAGTGGGAGATCCCCAGGCCCCACCTGGAGGCTGGCAACCCTAATTGTCATCTATATGCCACACGTTCGAATATTGAGTTCTAAGGTCCTCAATCCACTGGTTTATTGGAGGTGGGCTTTAATCTGTCCAATGTTGTAATACATGACCAATTCCTCCCAAGAAGCTGTGCCGCCCTCACTCTTCTCTTTCCCCCGCTTGCATTGGTCAATTTTACACTATTTGCTGTGCGGCTCCATTTTGACCCGCAGCTCCCCCCCCCCCCGCTTTCCCCCCCACCTTTTTGAACTCAAAAAACAAGAATTTAAAAGATGCTGGGGAAAAACATTTTATTGAATTTAGCAATTTTATACAAACATTATACAACATACAAGCAAAACTTACAAATTAAAAACCAACCAATGTACAAAACTTACAAAGTCAAGCTGTAGAAGTATGTTTTCCCCTAACAACCACCATTTAGGCTGGAACAATGCAAAATTTTCACAATTCACAAAAAGGTAAGTTTAGCCGTCAAGTAAGTTTCATCCAATCTCTCCAACCAGGTCTGCCCACTTGGAGACACTTTCCATTTCCAGCACCATGCGAAGTTTAACTTAGCTGTTGCAACTGAATTTAATGATATAATTTGTAAATCACCTGAAAATGACATTAAATAAGTGAACAATAAAGTTTTGTGCATCTTAGCAGGCTTGCACCTTTATCCCAGTACTCGGTTACTCTTGGATATAACCCCATGTGCAAAAAAAATCTGCCAGCACATTATGACAAGGCCAGCTGTTACCAGCACACAAACCATAGATCCTTGCAATCAAAGTCAAAGTCATTTATTACCCTATTACACCAGCACAAAACACAAAATAAAATATAATATAATCAATTTCAGTGTGAGATACCCCTGATGAATCATTTTATAGGTTGGGCTGCCAACCTCTAGGTGGTGGCCGGAGATCTCCTGGGATTACGACTAATCTCCAGATAACAGAGGTCAGTTCACCAGGAGAAAATGGCCGCTTTGCAAGGTGGACTCTCTATGGCCTTATACCCCACTGAAGTCCTTCCTGCCCTCCTCAGGCTCCACTCCCAAAATCTCTAGGTGTTTCCCAGCCCAGAGCTGGCAACCCTATTTACAGACAGAGGTCATTTCGGGGGGGATCGTGGGGGATCACAGTTCCCCCGGGTTGAGGTATGGGGGGCGGGGCACATGACAAAGCCCCGCCCCCTGCTTCCAGCCACCGTGCTTCCGGCCCTCATTCAACCAGGAGGAGGCAGGAGAAGAGGGAGGGTAAGTTGCTTCCTCCCTGCCTCTCCCCACCCCTGCCTGCCTGGGGCCAGGGAGGGCCTTTGCGGGTCTTCCTTGCACTCCCGCCGGCCTTGCAGGTCCACCGCCGGGCCCTCATGGGGCTCGGCAGTGGAGCTACAAGGCCGCCGGCGGTGGCCGGGACCGTTGGGGGCAGGGTGTGTGGCCTTATGACACACTTCCGGTGATGTCAGGGTGTGTGGCATATTCTAATGAGTTATGCTAATGAGTTCCCCTAGCTCTTTTTCTATGAAACGACCCCTGTTTACAGATGTTTTCTTTTAAATTCAAACAAACAGTGAACAGTGAGCCTCGAGATAGAACAAACTTCCAGACATCTTCTGCAATCTCGTAACGTAAAGTCTGGGCCCACTTGAGAGTGAAATCACCTGTAACAGCAGGCACAGTATTAATGATGAAATTGTATAACTTTGAAAGAAAACGCTTTTGAGGTTGCGTAATCCAATTTATTCATTTGCCTTAAAGGTTTATCAGATGTGAAATGTTTTACTAAGAAAGTTTTTATCTACAGATATTCAAACCAATATATTCTTAACATTAGGTAAGGGATAAGAATATGATACTGGTATGCCTTTCACAAGGGGCAGTATGATTGCATTCTTATATATACTTACTAGAGAGTAATTTCCACTGAACTCAGGGCGACTTTGAGTAAACACAAATACACTCAGGTTACAAGTATCTATTATTGCCACAATATTTCACTGAAAGTTTATGTAGCTAATCCACTGTATGATATGAAAAATAGCCATTTAATTATAAGCCCTGGAAAGGGATCAATTTGGTTAAAATCATCTATTATATACATCTTGCTATTGCAAATTAATTATCAAAAATCAGTCATTATCCTTTGGCCATAGAGTAATACAACACTATTCCAGGAGCCCTTGAACAAAAACCAACCAAACAAACAAACAGTCCATGGCATTTCTGTAGTGCAAAAAGGATACTATTTGAAAATGCATAATACTTTGCATGCAGTACTGTCATGCATAGACAAGAAACAGAAATACCAGTTGTGTGCACCTTGCCTCTGATACTGTAAGCCTAGCACAAATGTAGGTACTTTACCTTAACTGAGTTATGGATGTGCTGATGCCAATGGTATTAACTGATGCATTAACTGATGCAGGGAGATATGACTATACTATACAATGTGACAGTAGCATACAGCGAGCTTTAATAGTATTCTGACCATCACCTAGTTGCCTTCAACTGTACCAGTGGATTCTGATGTGGCCATTAACTACTCTGTTTTCTAGAATTGTGAGCAATGCACAATTGCATTACTGGAGAAAATGAAAATTGAGAAAATAGGTTGCCCCCCACGTGCACCACATTTCCATCTGTGCTTATGAGACCTTTACTCATTCGGTAGAATAACTGGATCAGGACCACCATTCAGAAATATACACCTAAAGCCATTGTTCTGAAAAATAATACTGTGTCAATCAGCTGTCAAAATAAGATATGAATATATATAGAAAACCTTTTTATAATACAGCAGATAATATTGGACATCAAATAGTTTTCAACTAGGGCTCTATTTCGAACTGAGCCAAGGCATCATCAGCATGGACACCTGTCACTGTACCACTTCCTTGTGAGCAAATATACAAAAGGTTCTCCTTGGTGTTCAAATGGATCAGAGAGGGAGAGGGGGAGAGAGAGCATTCCACCATTTATGCACTTTAGCTACTCACTCCCATTTGCCTGTGTTTGGGCTCATATACAAAAATGAGCTGCTGAAGCATTCAAGATAATTCAGATATAACCTTTGTTGCAGCTAACGCTGGTGAGAGGACCCTGCATTTTGTTTCTGAAATCAACAGCCAATGGGAATAAGGATTTTTTGGTCTTTGCCGCCATTGTGGCAGCTGGACCCAGGGACTAGGCCAGTCCCTCAACTACCAGTCCCCTATTTCTATCATATATTTTACAGCAGAGGTGAACATATAGATACTGGAAGGGGCTCTGTGCTTGAATTTTACTAAGTATCCCTCATTCCCCCTATGACTTAAGTGCTGTTCTCAAATTAAACCAAAATATTTGTTGTTGATTGTCATCTCTTGGCCATTCAAGGTAGGTTTTGGTATTCATTAGTCTTCTGAGCTTACAAAATCTTTTGGGAATGGTTTGCTCTTGAATGGGCTCCAGAAGGATCAAAACCGCAGCATCATTATTCTCATCAAAAAGCCGGAAATGGGAGAAATCCAGTTCATACTTGCACCATTCACTCTGTACAAAGTGTTTGGACAGCACAAACAGAGTTTTGTAGCTCTTCTCAATGGAGTCAATGATATTGTCCACAATCCATTTGCCAGGCATAAAATCCCTTTTATGAAGGCAGAGTTTAAATGGGGGATTAGCTTGCTCCAGCTCCTGTACCATTACATTCTCCACCCATCCAGAGTCATGTTCACTGTAGGAAACAAAAGCATCATAGCAGATTTCTTTATTAAGGTCCCGTCGAGGCTTGCGTTTTGCTTGAAGCCAGGCCCAGGTCATTTTCATATACCAGATGGCATGAAGCTTGTAGCAAAGAATTGCCACCACCATGAGCATCACCAGCATCAAAATGCAGATCAGGAACACCACCAATGTCCTATGACATTCAGTTAGTGATAACTGGGCAACTTGTACCTGCTTTCCCTTTACAGTGGATGGAGAGTCACAGATGTAGTTTTCAGGCCAACCAACCAAGACCTTGGATATTCCTTCCCCAGACTGAACAAAAGAGAGAAATTGACATGAGCAGCTGAAGCTGTTGGTGCATGCATCCAACATCTCCAGTTGTACAAATTTTCCAAGTTGCTCCTCAGAAAAATCCACCAGTTTGTTTTCTCTAACCACCATGAGTTGAACACTAGAGATGAAGGTAGCATCTGGCAGGGTTGTTAATTTGTTATTTGTGATGTAAAGTTCCCGTAGTTGTGGCAAGCTCAATCTAAAGTAATTGAGGTTATTACTGCTAACATCCAGTACTTCCAGACTTTGAGGGATGCATGTAGTAAGGCTGTTTATTTTACAGCCAGAGATGTTTAAAAATTTCAAACTTTGGGGCCATGTACATGATTTCGGCATTCGATTAAAGTTGTTTCGGCTCGCATCCAAGGTTGTGAAGTTTACTAGATGAGCTAGTCTTGTTGCTACATTACCTAGATCAGACAAAGTATTCTGACTAATATTTAAAGTTCTTAGTTTAGGGAAGGAATTCATGCAAAAGGAGAAGTCCATAGTTAAGTCTTGTAGTAGATTCACACTAAAATCTAGATACTCCAGAGAATGAAATGATTTTGAAAGTTCGCAGGGCACCATAAAAACTTTTGTATTTTCAAATGTAAGTCTGACAATTTTATCTAAAAGATGTCTTACAGTAGAAAAATCTGTAACTGAAAAAAACAAATCACTTGTTAAATTTCGGACTGTAATTACTTCTAGGGTTCCTGCAGAGTGCAATCCTTGCAGTTCCTTCAAATTCCCAACACCAGTGAATCTGCTATCCACCACCTCCAGCTCATGAAGCTGGCTCAGACCTGAAAGGATGAGAGCAATCTCACCAGCAGAATAATCTGAGAGTACAACATTTCTAAGGATAACTTTCTGGACAGCCGCAGAACCCAGTGAAAATTGTCTCAAGTATGAGCTGTTTAGAGATTGTATGTTTCTCAGTTCAAAACACACCACGGAATTTGTAATATCATGTGTGATCTGAATTAAAGTGTGAGGGGAGTGGACATTTAAAATAATGTGATCTATGTGCCCGATAGATTTTAGACTTCCTTGCTCATATTGCCTAAGGCTCTGTGCCTCAATTTCCAGTTCTTCAAGAATGGAAATTCCTTCGAAGTCTTGTTTCCGTAGAGTAGAAAAGTAAGCATCATTTCCCAAGTACAGAAACCTCAGCTTTTGCAGATCAGAAAAGAGAGGAGTTCCCCCTAGATGAGAGTACTTGTTACCTTTTATGTTTAACTGCCGTAAGGAAGAAAGGTGACTGAACCAAGAGGGTGACAAGTGAGTTAGATTGTTCTTTGATAAATCCAAGTGCTCCAGCTTTACAAGGAAGCGAAAGGCATCATCATTAATTGTCTGAATTCTGTTAGAATGGAGCAGAAGGGTTCTGAGATTGACAGCAAACTTCAGATCCATCTTGCTAACTTGTTCTATAGCATTGGAGGCCAGGTTCAGTCCTGTAATATCATCTGTTAGACCTGAAGGAATTGCATCTAAAGCCATTGCAGAATAGTTGCAGAAATAAGAGGCATCACAAAATCGACGAAGGTGTTGTGCAGAAAGACTTGCTGCTCCAACGACAGAGAGGACCCAAAAGCTCCAGACGGACTTAATCATGATTATCTAAAAGAACCACAAATATAATATAGTTACTTATTAGAACTCTTTTGTAAAATAGAAAAAATTCACTAGTAAAACCATTCATTGCACAGTTAACAATTTAATACCTTTTGTACAAAGTGCTGGAAATAGTTCAACTGATGAATGTTTGACCAGAGAAGATTGAAAGAATCAGGTAAAGTTTGCACATGGTTTTAGTCCATACAGTCTCTAATACAAACCAAGTTTCCAGGCTATTTTTAGGAAAGACTACTGGATGCAGTGTCACTATTGAGACTGTCATCTTGGATTCTACTCTCCATACACATGAAGACATCCCAAAAAAGGGCGTAGACTTTCCAATTTCCGGGGGGGGGGGGCTGGCCCAGAGGCATTGCTATGCTAGGTCCTTAAAAGAACTGAGGCCCAGTGACATCATAGGGAGGAGCCAGTGACATCACAGGCCATTGTCACTATCTATGGAGGTGGAGCCATGTGGGATTTAGGAAGGAGCTTATTGACTTTGACACTAAATGATGCTTTTAAAACACTCTTAAATCCAGGGTCAGAACTCCCTGTTCATATGATTTATCTGTGGCATATGAACTCAAGGAAAATGAACTCAGGCTGCTTTCTTACAGGGGTGTTCTAAATTTCTGGGACCATAATTCCACTCTGGGGGCTGTCAGTCTAGTCCCAGAGCACAGATTCTATTCCTAGGGACTGTCTTTCTACTCTGGGAGCTATCGTTCTAGTCCCAGAGTAACCTATCTGGGCCCAAAGAACTTAATGGAAAAACCATTCCACATTTCTTTGCATCTTATTTTGTCCTGCAATGTATTTCAGCAAAATGAAGAGCATGAACATGTACAGAGTGCACATTTCTTGCCAATGTTCTTTCTGGGCTGCACACAGGACAAAAGGAAATTTTAAAAGGCATGCCCCCCCCAATCTTGTTTATGCAGATGGGTTTACCATTTAAAAATGAAATGGAAATTGAAAGAAGAACTTAGGAGTGGTTGAAGCAGTCCCCCCATGGGAAAAAACCAACTGTTCTAAATCAAGGATATATAAAGTAAAGATAAATGTTCCCTTCCTTGAAAGCCAGTCGAATCCGACTCTAGGGTTGCAGTGCTCATCTCCGTTTCAAAGCCGAAGAGCCAGCGCTGTCCGAAGACGTTTCCGTGGTCATGTGGCCAGCATGACTAAACACCAAGGCGCATGGAACGCTGTTACCTTCCCACCGAAGTGGTACCTATTTATCTACTTGCAATTTCTTGGTTTCGAACTGCTAGGTTGGCAGGAGCTGGAACTAGAGACGGGAGCTCACTCCGTCATGCGGCACCCGGGTCTCGAACTGCTGAACTACCGACCTTCCACAGCCTGCAGTTCAGCGTCTTAACCACTTGAGCCACCGCAGCTCCACGTAAAATAAAGTAGAGACACACTTTCCCTCAAAATGTAAATTGGAGCCCAGCAATTATGTTGGGCCCCAACAGACGCTTCGCAGTCTGACTGTTGCTACATTGAAAGTGGGTGGAGACAGCCAGGGTTAAGGACTATACTTTCTTTTCCGACAGACACCAAACATATTCAAGGACTGATATGTTCTGGATATCAAAAACCTTAGTTATTAACCTAGAGCGTGCAAAGATACAACCAAAAACCTGATGGATCCAGCTGCAAGATACCTCTTCCTGTTGCAAGGAATGTTATCAAATCTCTTTCCCCACTCAGCTTTTCCTGTCTCCAGAGATCTGTCTTCCTAAAGACTCTCTAGCACAGAGGTATTGAACTCATTTGTTACGAGGGCCAGATCTGACATAAATGTCACTTTGTCAGGCTGCGCCATGTGTGCCATAAAATGTAACACAAGGTACCAGAGATATAAACTTTATAAAGATTATTTCAGATGCTGAATGGCAATTGCCAGCTTGATTGGATTGGGTGTGATATGCAGACCGGTAGTAGGAGTAGAGATATCAGCACTGGTAATGAAACAGAAAACCTAGGTCTCAGTTTGGCACAAGAGGATTCAGTTCAGGAGGGTGCAAAGAATAAATGGAAATGAGTCTGAAGAAATGAGCAGTGAGTAATAAAAGCACATATGTAAAGGTAAAAGTTTCCCTTGCTCAAAAGCCAGTCGAATCTGACTCTAGGGTTGCAGTGCTCATCTCCGTTTCCAAGCCGAAGAGCCAGTGCTGTCTGAAGACGTTTCCGTGGTCATGTGGCCAGCATGACTAAATGCCAAGGCGCACGGAACACTGTTACCTTCCCACGAAAGCGGTACCTATTTATCTACTTGCAATTTCTTGCTTTCAAACTGCTAGGTTGGAAGGAGTTGGAACCAGAGATGGGAGCTCACTTCGTCATGCGGCGCTCGGATCTCGAACTGCTGAACTACTGACTTTCCAGTCTGCAGTTCAGCATCTTAACCACTTGAGCCACCACAGCACATACCCTACCACAATTTTGTTAGTCTTTAAAGGTGCTACTGGACTCTTACTTTTTCTACTGCTATTACAAACCATCACATTCAAAAACCAGTGGGGGGACACTGAGTCAACATCTTCATTGAGTTATCTACCACTACTACAAGTGGGTGGCTGCCGATCTTACCAGTTTACAAAGAACCACCTTTAGAAGATGACACACACATAAAACAAGATTATTGGTTCCATTAAACATCAGCACTCTGACCTAACAGGTCTCTGATTGGCAGAAAACCTTTTAGGCTGGGCTTTCCCAAGTAAGGTTTTCTCTTCTTCTTAAACCATGAAGGTCTAAACTGTATCTATATAACTGATATGGCTACAGGATGCTTATTATTGTTCTTCATTCTAGCTAGGCTAACTGATACATGCGCAGTTAATAGGTTTCCCGAGGCTGCAAGCCTCAGCAAAACACCAAGTTAACATTTTGTTCTTTCAGGATTTTACCCTCCCGGCATGCATCCAAACAACAGTCACAAATGGACCAAAGTTAATACCTGAATACATTCATGATGTCCGAATCATAAATGGCACTCAACATATGCACCATGGAAGTGCTAAGTGCACCTACTAAGTTAAACCTGTTAGTCAGTGGCAGAGTATGTGGTATCACGAAGCATTACCAGAACTGTAAGTTATAAAAAATATATTAAGAAAATGCCCACATGCGTGATCTCAGCATAGAAAACGACTGAGCAAGGGATCCAAAAGAAAAGTGTAAAATGCCATTCCTCTGTCCCTCCCTCTGTACATGACTTACTGAATCTTAATCTAAGGCAGGTTCCTTAACCTAAAAGGTTACAGTGGTTCTAAAGGGTTTCCATTACCTTGGAGCCTCTGCTCAGGGGACATCTTCAGCAGGCCGTAGGTGAGGCTCCCTCTGTCTCAATGGAATCAGCATAAAATACAGCCTTCTCCTTCTCCTGTCAAGGAGTTTCAGCATCTGATTGCCCTCCATTTGAGGTGACGGGCCTTCCTGAAATCTCCAGTCAGAAAATTTGGGGTGGTAGGGAGTGGGGTAATGGGGGGGGGGTGCCCCAGCCATGCCTCCTGTTCCTCTTGTGGCAGCAGAAGCAGCAGCTTCAGCTCTGCTACGGCCTCTAGTCCTCCTCTAGTCTTCTAGTCCTTTTGATTGGAGTGACTCGATTCCAGGCTGCTTTTCTGTGTAAGTGGGTGGGGGGTGATCTTCGACTTTCTCTCTTTTGCATTTCAAGGCTATGATTCAAGGTTATGGTTTTGACCTTTAAAGTCCTATGTGGCCTGGGACCATCATAACTGCAGGACTGCCTCTCCCCATATGAGCCCCAGAGTGCTCTACACTCTTTTGATCAACATCTCCAGGTGGTCCCTGGCCTGAGGGACATCCACTTAGCCTTGACCGAGGCGAGGGCTTTTTTGGCCCTCGCCCCAGCCTGGTGGATCATGCTCCCATTTGAGATCAGGGCCCTATGAGATCAGCACTGTAAAATGGAGCTGTTCTGCCAGGCCTTTGGTTGAGGTTGTGGGCATTCAATCCATTCTGGGCCCCCTGTCCTGTCCACTATGCTGTTTATGACCTTTTCCCAGTGCCCTACTATTCTGGATACTATCTGGACACTGGAATTTCTTTATAAGGCACGGGTTCAGTTTGATCTGCTATTGCTATTTATTGTTTTACTGTTTTTATTGTTTGCTGATTTTATGTTGTGAGCTGCCCTGAGCCCATTTTGGGGGGTACAGTGGGGTATAAATTTAATAAATAAATAAACTTTTGCAATTTTATTTTATTTTTTGTAATTTTGTTTGCATTTTTTTTAAACCCTACTTTTCAACCTGGAAAAAAGAAAATGAGACTGAAGCTTTCCTGACTGTGCACAGGGTCATTTTGGAAAGCCATATGCATCTTACATTTTTTAAATTAACTTTTTTGTCCAAGGGGGCGGCGCTCATCTGTGGGGGGCATTGCCTCCCAATGCCCCCGATGATTACAGGCCTGCCTTTTAAACCTACAAACTCTGCGTTCCCTGCTAGGCATCAGCCTTCTAGCTGGAGTGAGGAGAAGCTTGACCATCCCATTACATCTAGCCAGGTCTTCCATTTGCATTTCTAAAGCCTCGCCTTACTCCCCCTTCCTGCTTATTCTCTGCCAAAACAGAGAAAACCTTTTTAAAACTAACACTGAGGGCTTTGCTCAGTTGAAACCTCTGAAGAAAAATGCATTTCTTCACTCAGCATAATTACCACCATCTGCACAGTCACTGCCATACTATGCTGGATAATGTCTATACCAGCAATTCTCCAAAATTGTGCCAGGGCATGACACATGAAAACTTACAAAGTATTACAAGAAAATAAAGGTTTCTGTATGCCTCCAGATCACTTGTCTCAGTTGCTCTGACCTTACTACTTTCATATCAGCTTCCACTGAAAAGTGAAGCCAATGATGCTGCATCTCCTTATGACTGGACTGTCAATTCCAGTGCAACTTGCCCTCTTTGCATGAATCATTGGTCTGGCCTGCTTCTTTCTACTGAAAAGGTATGCCCAGGTCAA